TAATTCAAATTCTAATTTAATATCTTCACTTTCTTGTTTATTACCATCTAAAATAAAAAATAAAATATTTGATGATTTACAAACCTCTTTAGAATTTTATAAAGATGATTTAAATATAGATTCCTATAATTCAACCTTAAAGGGAGAGTTTGAATTATGGCAAATGAAGTGGGAAACAGAAACAGTCATTCCAACCAACTCCCTTGATACATTATTAAATTGCCCAGAAGAAATTTTTCCTAATATATATACAATGTTGAAAATTTTCTCAATATTGCCAGTTACTACAGCTTCAGTTGAAAGAAGTTTTTCAACTCTTAAGCGTATAAAAACTTATTTGAGAAATTCAACTAGTGAAAATAGACTTAATGGACTAGCACTACTCAATGTACATAGAGATATAGATTTAGACATAGACTCATTAATTGATGTTTTTGCAAACAAAAAAGAGAGACGTCTAGATTTTAAATTATAAGTAGGTAAGTAGATACAAGATAGTAGATACCTAATATAATTTAAAAAAAATTATGTCTGTAGATAATTTATTTTAAAACTAAGTTGTTATTTTATTTTATCAGTTGGTCATTGTTACTACTTTATTATAATATCAAAGAATAATTTGTTATTTTTAATATTTACATTTTTTTTTAATCTATTTGTTATATTATAAAATAAAGAAATATTTTGTTGAGTTTTTAATCATTTAACATATTTTTTCAGGTTCATCACAATCTCCTTTATTTTTAACTATCCCCTTTCTATCAACTAAGACTAGTTTTATATAATATGTTTTATAAAAGTTAAAAGTTATGAACTTGTATTCTTGTTAGTAAATAGAAATAATATTTCCACAAAAAACAAAATGTTGTGTTTACAAAACATACAATTGATATAATGTTATTAATATACTTATATAGGTATACTAACTAATGCATTAATATATGGTTAACATTTTACAATTACAATATTATTTATACATTGTTATGTTAAATGTATGGGAATCAATGGAACCATAGTTTGTTAATATAATAGTAGTCATAAAAAAAGTATATGTGCAGTAAAAAAACTATTGTTACAAAATTTGAGGTGCCCCCCCAAAAAAAATATTCTGGCTACGGCACTGGTATAGGTACATAGGTGCAGTGGGCACATAGATACCTGCAGCGTTTGTACAATCTACCTATATATATATATATACATATGTACGACTTAAATGACTATATGCTCCGGTGAATGATGGTGCGAATATTTTAGTTCATTAAACATATTATTATTATATTATAAGCGCGCTGCATGGCATAAA